TGTGTGCAGCTTAGTTCAGCACAAATCTGCCGCTCCATAGTTCACGGTAACGGACTCACAGCTGGACCAACGAGGCCGAGTGTGTCCGTCACTCTGAGCTACATTTGTGTTTGGCTGTATCCCCATTTCAGGGCCTGCAGTTTTGTTTTGTTTTTTTTTGAATACGCTTTATTGACAAAGCACAAAATACAGATACAAATTAACAAAATACAACGTCAGGGGGTTTCGTATAAAAAAACAAAACAAAATAGATACAGTCTAACATAGAATCACATAATATTGAACAGGGAATATAAGTTTATGGTTTTGACAGCTTTTACATTTTGAGAACCTTGTATGGTTTTAACATATTGTTTGGTTTCATTTAAAAAGCACTGAAAGGATGGTTTTGGCTTAGAAAATTTTGATTTATGTATATGAAATTTAGCTAGTAATATCAGTAAATTTATGAAACAAAATTTGTTTGCCCTGTGCATGGGGTACTTAAAGAAACCAAGCAATATTTTCTCATAACAAAGAAAGAACTCATCTCTTCCTTCACACAATTACAAAATGAACAGTTAACATCAATGTCCTTTTTATAATGTACAAGAAAAGTAGGGATATGCGATATCACTGATTTCCTTTCTGATCCGATCCCAAGTAAATTTCAGGGTTGTATCGACGATACTGATCCTATACCGATACTTTGTACAAAAACTTAATGTTTCATTGTATTTCATATATAATTGTATTATGTAATTGTAATACTATTATAATAATATAGCTTAATAATAATCACAGGACATCAGACTACTTGTTCTTATTGCTTAATAATGCAGAGTTCATCATATAGAAATAAAGAAAAAACTGAAGTTGTGCTATTTGAACACCTTGCCCTCCTGCAGCACTAAAGGACTCCGTGAGAGACGTCTGTCTCGCCCCAGCAGCACCTGTCCCTCTCCTCCTCTTCAGTTCGCCTCAACATACGCTCGTCATATTCTGTGATATGATTTACTCTGAGGTGTTTGACGATGTTAGTGATGTTGCCACAACACCTCACTTTTTTGCCACATGTATCGCAAACCGCGTCTTGGCTGTTTGTGGAGGTAAAATATGTCCACACATGACTCCGTTTACGCTCAGCCATTGTTGTGAGTTTGCACGCCAAGGGGCTGTGACACATTTATCCAGCCGTATTTCGCATATGACTATGAAAGGTATAAGAGGAAGTAGTTCCTTCCAATGTAGACAATCCAAATGATATAGTTTCTTTCCATTGTGTTCCTGTTAATGATAAACTACAAATTTACCCCAAAGTACCAAAATATTGATATTTTAATATGAGAATTGATTCTAGAACATAAATGATTGGTAATTGTAATTGTTTATGAGCAGAGCTGCTGCTCATAGTTTACCTCTCGGTGCTTCTGCTCCCACACAGAGGAGACTCATTACTATCAGAGCGGCTGTAACACTAGACCACACCTGAGTTATTAAACATCTGTCTTTGAACCACTCAGATACTTAAAGATTATTACAGTGGTCCCTCACGGTTCACGGCTTTTGCGGCCTAGCCATTTCACAGATTTTTTTGTGCAATTTTGCATTGTGTTCTGTGTCCTGATTGGCTGTAGACCATCGTAATCAATCTCCTCCGTGCCGTGGACTTTGAGTGTTTAAATAAGAGAGAAAAGTGTGAAAATGTTCATGCCTTTCTGAGAAAAGTGTATAAAGTGTGTGGTGAGGGCTTTTACAGTCTTAAAACATGTATAATTGTACAAAATGAAGTTGACTACTTCATAATAATTGTAAAAGATAGAGCTCACTACTGCAGATTTCACCTATTGTGGGTTAATTTTAGAACGTAACTTCGGCGATAAACAAGGGACCGCTGTACATGTCAGTAGAAGTCACGTGTTGACTGATTTAAAACTCGTTATTTCATGATGAGCTCAGTATTCAGAACTATGATGACTCTTAATTTTTCTCCCCATGGTCTTAAAACATATTTACTTGTTTTTTTTAATTAACAGAATAGATCCACTGTGTCTGGTCATTTCTAAATATTGTGATACTGTACAGCAGATTAATGGCACAGCAGTGCAGAGGCCTCTGGTTTAAATATGCCTTTGACTAGGGTGACCATATTTCAATTTCCAAAAAAGAGACACTTGGCCCAGTCATGAAGAACTTTAATAATACTGTTTGCTTAAAAAAAACTTTACCATATATAAACAATGCATTCTCTGTGCGGTTAATGAATGGTGAAATAAAACATGCCATATAGACTTTTACAAGTCAACAAGTGCAAAAAAGAGGATGCTTGGTCATAATACAATAACAATAGTGTGTCGTTTGAGCCAGGATTAATGGTTATAATGACCATCGCACTTCACTGTGCAGAGTAAATCACTGTTTGGCTTGAACTTTTATTTTCTTTGTTTTAAAATGGTGAGTGAGGAGTAGATTTTTAGACTTCTAAGTTTCTGATTGTTTTATTTTATTTTAGTGATTTTTAACATATTTGTTGTGTTTGTATTGAAGTGACTAAGGATAAACAAGGCTGTGGGACCTCTCTGGTTGTTTTCCACAGTACGGCACTTTGGGTTTAAAGTTCTTTCTCTTTTCAGCCACAGGTAAGTCCAGTTCAGTATTATTGTGTTATTTCATGTAGGACATTATTACAGCTGATAGGCAGAGCCACAGTCAGCCTTTATTCTGACTCAAGCTGCACTTTGCTTATAATTCAGTTTTTAAAATATATTTAATGAAGTTATTTTAATATTCAATCTGCCTCTCTAGTGCATTTTTGAACCTGTGCACCCTTCAGGTTAGTTTGTACTATCTTTACTATTCCTAAGGTGAAATTCTCCTAGGTTGCATGACCACCACGTTCTCAGTGTTTGAGGATTTAGAGACTTTTGGAGACTTGTAATCACTTCCTGTTAGAAATTATGCTGCTGACTTCACAGTGAAATAAAAGAGGAAAAAACCTAAATGTCCGTGTGCCGTGCGCTCCCTCAGACATTTGATTACACTCAGACAAACAGCAGCTTCACTGCATGTAGTTCATGTTTGTCTCTTTAGACACAATCACTGCTGTGTTTTAGTGTCTCTGCTGGAACTGCACGAAACTCCTTCATTCACCATCCCAACACTGAGAGGATGTTAGAGACACAGGGGCACCTTCACCTCTCCTGCTAGGAGAGACCCTGGAGCTGAGAAAGTACCAGAACACAAAGAGCTTGACCTTGAACGTTTGTTAGTTTAGCTAACATAGCAGCTAGCAGTTAGAGTATGAACTCTGTAAGCAGATGGAGTAGATGTTAGTCCAACACATCAGACATGACCTCTGCAGCTCTCAGTTGATGTGCACGTGAATGATTTGTGTTTCCTCTGCAGGTGAAGGTAGAATGTGTGTGTGAGCTGATGTGAATTGAGCAGCATGGATCAGTGTGAGGACAGAGAGGAGGGAGTCCCTCCCTCTAAAACCACTCTGTGTGGGGAACATGAGAGCCAGACCAAAGCTCAGAGGTGAGATGACCATCTCTAACTGTCCATGACTCTTCTCCATGTCACAGCTCAGCACTCACATCACTGCTCCATCATTATTCGTCATTATTATTGATGACGTTTGTTCAATTCTCTTTACCGATAGTTTTTATTCAGTCACAGTAACGCTGTTCATCAGCAAAGACGTTTATTATTCAAAGGATTTAAATTAAGTCAAAACTTTTACCAATTAAACTGAAAATAATCAAAATAATAGCCTGGACGAAGTAAAACTGAAGGTGAGGCACGAATGAAAGACAACTCTAAAAGAAAATAAGTAACTAAACCTGGAAGTATAAAACACGGTGATCATTAAAACAAGTAAAAAACTAAAAAACTAAACTGTAATTAGAAAAGTATCACGCACTAAAGAAAAGGGATCCTGAAGACAAAAAACAGTTGTGATGAACCAGCCTGAAAATGCCTTATACATAAGTGATAATCAAAGTTAGATTACAGGTATAACAAGGAAAACAAACAGAAGACTCCTAAAAAATATCACTAATCTAAAACTTTAGAAATATAACAAAACCCACGGAGCACAACAACAAGGATCAGGGAGGGTCAGCCATCTGAGAGGAAAGAGGAGAGAGAAGGGCATCTGTGGAGGAATAAAAATGTGTTTTCTCTCTTTGTCTGTCAGAGCTCATCAGGGTCCTCGGACAAACATCCTAGGGAAGAGAAAAACTGAAGAAGTCACTTGGATGAGGGACAAAACATTTCTCCCACCAAAAATGGGACGTCCAGATGAACAGAATCAACCTTTTGAGAGCCGCAAAAACGTTTCTGATGATTCCAGCTGTGGGTCCTCAAAGAATGACTCGTCTGAAGAACGCCCCATTGATTTTACAGGACAGCAGCATTCTGCTGCAGAGAGGTGAGTTAGTAACACTGAGCTGTCAAAATAAAACAGGGAATATAGCCAAGAAAATCTGAAAAACTCAGACATTAAACACAATAAACTGAGGAGACGGGAACACAAGGAGAGAAACGTGGAAACAGAAAAGGGAAACACAAGACACAAGGGCACATACAAGTACATCAAACACAGAGAGGGACACAAAGGACAAAGGGAACCTAAGTGTACAAGAAGCTAACATGGAGTAAACTCAGGATAAACTAAACGAACCTTAAATAATAAACCATAATACAAAATGTCACCAAAACACAATAAACTCAAAATGCTGGATCAAAATGTCCCAGAACCATGACAATGTATGGAACAGACCAGTTGTTCATTACACATTATTCTTTCAGTACAACATTTTATGACTTTACAGTGACACACAACGATTCACATACTACACTCCTACATAAACCATCTATAAAAACTGATGTCAGCTTGTAGTGATAAAAACCCTTCAGGGGACATTGTGCTATCGGAGTGCTCTTTAATAAATACATGTATGTATTTATTTATTTATTTATTTTCTTAAACGTTTAGTGTGTTCTGAATTGATCCACAGGGTGAAACCGTCAGTGAGGAGTTCATCTGTAACATTGATGGATCTGACACTTGCGGAAACACAGTCTGAACTGTGGCCATCATACTGCCATGCAGTGACACATGGAACACTGAAGACAGTTTCTCAGCCACAATAGCAAAATCTGTGCACTTTAAGCAGATTAGCCTCCAAAAATCCTAAACCAGCATATGGGGAGGACCAGAGTACAACACAGCAGCAACAACAGCAGCTGCTTAAACAGCTTTCATCGAAAAATTGTGTGATCTGAATAAAACATGTTTGTATTTGCAGAGGTCAGAGGTCACAGTCTCCAGTTTCCAGCTGTGTGTCTATGAGGAGTGACTCGTCCAAATTTCGGCCTCCAGACTTCAGTACTGAACCTGAACCAACACTGAACTTCAATCATAGACCTGAGCTGACAGACTAGGAGATCTGCAGCTGACTCATTTACTGTGTGTTTGAATATTTGTAAACTCTCTGAGGCATTTGGATCATCCAGGTAAGAAATCCCAGAAAGCTTTCTTTAGAGGTTTCTGTGTTCCTGAGTAAATGTGACCTAAAACAAAGTTAGTCAAACCAAGACCTCCAAAAGTAAATACACATCATCAAACTGGAAAGAAAAATGAAAATGGAAAATGATCTAAACACATCATTGAGGGTAAATGTGTGCACACTTCATGCAGTAAAGTTTCAAAGTCCCGATATTTTGACATTTGAAGATGTTAATTTTAGCCTCACACGTTCCCAGGATATATATTCAATCAATCAAAGCTTTATTC